ACAACTGCTCAAGAGGTAGATGATTTTTCACAGAAGAAATACCCATCTGCCCGTTAAGTGCTGTTAGTGAGACTGGTTGGTAAAGCAATTTGATAGCTTTGTCGACGGAAGTCTGGAGATGCTTCACAAGCCCTCATGGTCAGTAAACTAGTTGAGGAGATCCCTCATAGTCAGGCGCCGAGTTGGCGAAACATCAGGCAAAGTGTCCTCTACTTCCGAGTCATCAGGAGCCGGATAAGGGTCGTCCACACCGAAAGCACTGTCCACATCCATCTCAAAGTCATCTGGGCTCCTTGTGGCGAAAAGGTCGATCGGCGCCAGGGTCCTCCTCGGTGGTGGAGCCGTCGCAGGAAACGTTTCTCCAAGTCTTCCTATAATATCATGAAGTAGATCAATAGACTTTTTGTTGAACTTATACAAGGAGAACGACCTCCCGTGGTTCTCCTTAATTGTAGTATAGTGAAAGCCAAGTCGCGTCATAACGAAGTGCATGTCGCTCTCGGCCTTGGTAATGAAGGAAGAGTGAATCACCACCGAGAAGAGAGGCACCAGATCTCCATGGTCGCTGAGGAACGATGTAACCTTATTGTGAGCTCCAAGTCGAGCGTCCATATTCCCACTGCGACCGATATATACGAGAAAATACGGCCCGGCATACCGACCCTCGGTAAAAGCCGTGGCCGTATTTGCATGTACAAAGTAGATTCCTGACGCTCCTTCCGGAAAAGGCCCATAAGTAACGCGCGGGTGTCGATGCGATGGCCGCCATAAATCCATATATGCCAAAGTGTGCCGTCCTCTTTGCATGTTTAGCTGTCTAACGAGCTCAGGGAAGTACAGCTTCGTAAGAAAAAGAGGGAATAATACAGGATCCGTCAGTGCATGTGATAGGCGAACCATTATGACACCTGAGCGGCCTGAACGCACGTGCCCTCCTTCGACTTTTTGTAGTGTCCGTGAGCCATCACGCCCCAGCCACAGATACTCGCCGTAGAAGTAAGTTTGTACTGCATTGCCAACCGTCCCGTAGGGAACGTGGCGGAGCAGCTCTCTCCATACCGTCCACAGTGTCCACGGGGCCCCCAGAAAGAAGACCAGCACCTCGAACGCCTGCTCCCACGCGCCAGCTACAAGGCAACCGGAAACCGGCAGGAAACTTGGAGTTCAACCGGAAATGTGTCTGCATTTCTGTGGCTTACACCAAACAGTGTGGTGCACCTAAATTCTATCAAACAGCATAGCGTTTACCTACCCGCTTAGTACCGGTTTTTTTACGGTTAAATTGTCCGATAGTTAAGTCCAGAAAAATCGGTAACTGTTTCAAATCCGGACACTGTGAAAAAGAAATACCCCCAACTTAGTGTGTACCACGCTAAATCAGCAGCGTGTCTCCAAGACAGAAGTGAGAATAGCATGAAGGTGACCAAGGTGATCGTGGCGCTGGCTGCGCTGTGTATGGCGCTGTTGACGCCTGCAGCAAGCAGTAGAGGAACCTCAGACATCGCGAGCGATTCTGCCAATCGTCATTTGCGTCAGGAGAGCGATCAGTTCGCTGCGAAGCCTAAAGCAGAAGTAGTGAAGAAGGACTCGACGAACCCGCTACAACGTCGCGATCCGGCCCTCGTGTCCGCCCACCGCGTGTACGACCCAGTATCAGGACTGGCATGTTCACTAGTGGGAGAATGTATGGCGTGTCCGACGTCCGAGAAGGACGAGAGCTTCTGCCGCGAGACGGGATATCGTCAAGAGCTGGACTGCCCTCGACCGAAAGACCCCAAGGACGCTGCGCTGCTCACCAAGCCAGAAGATGAGCGGGAGACGAGGTTCAAGGCTTGTTCACCTGCAGATACATCTCGACCAGGCGTCGCAGTGGTGAAATTTGAGGTAGGAAATGTACGTGGAATGGCTTGAAGAGGTTGACTTGACAAAGTGTTTAACTTTGATGCAGGCGCTGATGTCAGTGATATTAGCTGTGTCGGTAATATTACTGCGACGTGAGCGAGGAAAGCACATGAGCTCGTTCGACATGCGGAAAGACCCACGACAACGAACAGGTCTGTTGGGTGGCGCCTCCAGCGACAAGGACTCGGACTAAAAGGGCCGCAAGTTAGCAACCAGACTCTATAGCTCAGTGATCAAACAGACAGATGCAGTTAGACTATATGCATCGTCGGTCCTGATAAAAAAAATCTCGGGACAAAAAGTCGAGTGTTCTAAACAGAAAGAAATGTATCACGCTTGACTGCAAGCCTCTACTTCTTTGCTCGCTTGATCACTCTGGCTCCAGCTGCCAGTGAGTTCTTCTTTTCGGCCTTCCTCTTCTCGCGTGCTAGCTGCTCCGCGCGCTTCTTGAAGATACCCGAAAGTTTGGGCATGATCGGGGGAGCGTCCACACGGTCACCGAAGCGCACCGGTGCTGCATCCTCGAAATAGTCCTTCTTGGTGTTACCTGTGCTCTGATAGTCGCGCTCGTAACGCTCCTGTTCCGTCATCTTTTTCTCGCGTGCCTTCTCCTTCTTCTTAGTAAGGTAGGCCTTGCGCTTCTCGCTGCTGCGTCGGCCTTGCTTGGCTGCATCGTAGATGACACGCTTAACTTCCGTGCTGATGCGTTTGTTGAAGTCGCGCATGGACTCTCCATCCTTAATAGATCCAATCTGCAGCTTCTGTTTCTTCTTAGAGGGAGCTGCAGCGTCTCCGTCCATTGCCGATGTGCGCATGACATACTGCTCCATGGCCTCGTCGCTCAGCATCTTACGCCGGCGCTTCTTAGAGCGTTTGGACTCAGTAGGAGGCAGATCGAACGCCTTATCCTTCTTGCCATTGTCGCGCTTGCCCTTGAAGAACGGGTCGCACTGTTTGAGCTTCCTCTTGGCACTCACTCGGCCCATGGTGACGACTCTGGAAGTGGCGATGATCGACTGGGCTACACTACATCTCTCTTTATAAGAGCAGAAGGTGGTGAAACTTCCTGTAGTGGGACGTGGTGGTGTGGTATACGTTAAAATCAACTTCAAGGTGTCCGTTTCATTGGCCATTTTGAAGGAAAGGCAGGGCAGGATGCTGTACTCGCGCTCGACGTCCATGAACAACTCGCGCCGCAGGCGGGCGAGGCTCACCGCCTCCCGTCTGCGGCGCTCCAAGCTACTGACTGAGGTGGCTATGCGCAAGATGAATCTGGACCCGGCGAAAACCATGCAGATGGAGTACATCTCGGAGCAACTCTCACCGGAGGACATCAGCTTCTTCCGCCACATTTTCCGCCAGATTGACAGTGAGTACAGTGGGTTATTCAGCTCAATTATGCGTTGGGGTCGTAATGCTATGGTGTGTTTTTGATTGCGGACGACAGCCGACAATTCGGGCATCATGCTACGCTCGGAGCTGCATGAGGTGACGAGAAATTGCAATTTGCCGAAATGACAAGAGCTAACAGATAACAACACGTTATTACAGGCTCTCACTCTACTTGGAATCTCTCCAAGCGACAAGGAGCTGGACGAATATTTGCTCGTTGCAGACGCAGACGGTCAGTCCCGCACTTGATGAACGTGAGCCAATTGATATTGATATCGTCCTTTTCGATGGCAGGTAGCAAAGCTATCGATCTCCAGGAATGGATTGTGCTCTGCGGGATGCTCGTCACTCCTCCGCACGATGAAGAAGACCTTCTTGGCGCATTTCAAGTACGTTGTAACAGTGCACTATATTCCAATTGCTCATCTAACACGGAATTCTCCATATAGTGTCTATTTCCTAACGAGGAGGATATCCCCGTAGTCGTGTTCCGCACTAAGATGCAGCGTATCCTTGAGAATGCGTATGCGCATCTACCAGACAGCAACCAGCACGAAGTGAGCTGCTACGTCGACGACATCCTCAGTGCCCTCGATCCCAACGACACGGAATGCATCGATGTGCAGGAGTGCATCCGAATTCTGAGCACGCCTTACCATGGAAATCCTTATCCTCCCAGCCCCACGGCTCAGAAGCATCAGCAATGAAGGCACCTTCAAGGCTGTTATCAGATTGATGTGTTGTTTTACATCAATTTGACTTCATCATACCGTAACATTTATCTTCAAACTTGTATTGATCGTTTTGAAAGAAAAAAAAAACGAGAAAAATACACAAACTTTCATTCTCGATTCCGCACTCGTCGGTGTTCCACTCGACGGATATGCCGAACGGATTCGCGACGGGAACGCCTGTGGAGGTGGACGAGCACGCTACCGACCTGTGGCTTGAGTTCGCGGACAACTGCGTCGAGTGCGAGCTGTGCAACGAGCCATACGACGACGACGACGGCGACGAAGGCCACATCCCGCGGCTCTTGACCTGCGGCCACACCTACTGCCAGGTAGAGTGTGTTCTACCTGTTACCCCTTCCCCTCACTACAACATCTAAATCCGTTATAACTTCAACTTTACCGTATCTGTTACCACAGAGCTGCTTAGACGGCTGGGCGACCCACACAGGCTCTCAGACCGGAGAACTGGAGTGCCCTACCTGTCGTAGAGTGACGCGGTTTGAAGGGTCTGCGGGTGCACGTGCCCTACCCAAGAACTACGAGCTGGTGCGTGCCCGTCAGGAGATGGAGGCTCAGACTCAGAACCAACTGCGCAAGCTTAAGGAGATGTGGACGAACCAAGTGAAGGAGAAGGAGCAACTAGCGAGAGAAGCCGAGGAACACGCCCGCACAGCGCAAAGAGAGAGTGTACAAGCGTCACAGAAGGCCATGTTCCTGGCCAAACAGGTAGAGATCAACGAGCAGGAGAAGAGACGTGCCCAGGAATTGGCTGAGGAGGCCAGACACCGCGCTTTGGTGGCGTCTCAACAGGCCGAAGCGCTTCAAGCTGAGACGGAGAATCTTAAGCGTCAATTGCAGGATGATGCGGCACAGCTCGCGCGCGTGCAGCATGATGCTTCGAGTGCTGCGGCAGTGGCTAAAGAGCTTCACTCCAAGGCGGAGCAGCTCCAGCAGCAGGTGGACTGTGTTCGTGCTCAGTTGTCCCTACATGCTGGACGACACGACCCCAGTAAGCTGGTAGTGCTGGTGTGTGAACCTACGACGGTAGGCTCGTGGTTGCTGCCCTACACGAGATACGCCGTGATCAGTATTGCCAGTGACACGACGAAAGGTGCACAGGCGATCGACCCGTACCAGGCTGCCAAGACGTGGACGCGCTTGCGTCAAGTGGAAGAACCAAGCTCGTCGGTGAAGGTGTACCGCCGATACAGCGACTTTGTGTGGCTGCAGCGTGAATTACAGCGTCAATTCCCGTTTGAGTTGGTGCCCTGTGTCCCTGGCAAGCAGCTCTTCTTTAACAAGGAGAAGGAGTTTGTGGGAGAACGTATGCGTCTGTTGCAAGCGTTCCTGCGTGGAGTGTTACGCCAGCCGCTGCTTGCAGTGACGGAAGAGGTGCGTGCGTTCTTGCTGTCTACCACGGAAGAGCTTGAGAGTCTTCGACGCGCCACGTCGAGTTATTATAGCAGCGTGGAGGACGATGAAATGCGTTCAGTGGATGAAGACTCGCCTAACGATGAAGTGGAGTCTCGGAACTCGTCTCCTCCTGTTTCTGCGTCGAAAGACTCCACGTTGAGCAAACGAAGCAGCAGCTGGAGTGCGTGGGGTGCCGTGTCGGCCATTACATCGAGTGCTGCGAAGCTGGTCACCACAACCGGCACAGCGCTAACTGGAATTGGCTCTAAGACTGGAACTGCAGGCCTTCCAGAGGACCCTGACGTGGAATTGTCGAGTAGTTTCTTTGAGACAGAAGGAAAGGATGCAGCGACTCGGGAGTGTATCGAGCGCCGACGCAAATACATCGACGTGGCGAGATCGTACCAGTCGACAGCGCAGAAAGGAGGTCAATTGTCTCGCGCTGCACGTCTGCAGTCTCATCATCTGCATCGCATGTGTGAATTGCTCCACGATATGAACAAACTGGACCAAGACCACGTAAGGCGTCGTCGTCAGAGACTTGCAGCTTCGGAGGATATAAAGTCACTTCAAGACGATGAAGACGACGACATGGAGACGCGCGCCTTTGACGAACGAGCGTCTGATGTGTTTAGTGCTATCTCGCTGAATACCAAGAACGATGCAGACTGTATGGAATACGCACTACTGGAGGTCGTGAGGATGCAGACACTGGAGCTAGGAGGCGTCGAGGATGCCTTTAAGCGTGTGCGTCGTCGCGAGGAGGCGCTGCAGGCGCAGCAAGAGTTGAATTCATCTGCCAATGGCTCGATGGGTGACGGTGCTGCACTCTCTGCGTTGGCTCTGAAACGCGAGGAGTTGGCTACGCACAGGCGTGAGTTGAATGATAAAGTGGCAGCGTTGGATCCAGGTCGCTCGCAGTTCGTGCTGCAAGTTCTTCGCAAGAACACGAGTGAGATGCACAAGCTGGCGAAAACAAAGCGTAAACTCTTCCAGGCCTCGCAGCAGCAACTTCTCGGCGTGCAGCGCTAGATGAGAAGAAGACAAGCAATGGTAAGTGTGTATATAATATATAAAGGGTGTTTGTCAAGGATGGTGCTTGTGTGTCTTTGTCTTGGGGAGATATGAGGAGTAGGGCGGGGCGACGTGTTTGCAGTAGGTCTGCATGGAGGGCAGATCGACGTTCACGGGGCGATTCAGGTACGTCATCGGCTTGACTCGTGCTTCTTCCTCACTTTCTTCTCCCTTGCAGTCGTCCTCTTCGTCTTCGTCGCTTTGGTCTTCGACGTGTGGATAGTTCCCATGTGCCACATTGGTGACGAGGTTCTGAAACGTAGCCATCTCACACTCTACCCTCTTGACTAGCGCTTGGTACTCGGCCAACGGTGCAGTCGCTGTACCTGCCGCCAAGTCGAAGGCACGCGAAAGACTCGCAGTTAGTCCCTCGCCAAGCTGTACCATCTGCAGGGCAGCAGCACGGCTCACCGACGTCCGAGGCTCGACGAAGCATCGCATCCAGGCCAACTTGGCTTGTACCAGCAGTTGACGAAGCTGAAGTTGCAGCGTAGTGAGTCGCGTCTTGAGCTCCAGTCGCGTCTCGATCGAGAAATACTGGGACGCATCGGCGTTAGCGCCTGACGAGACGAGCGCCGGCTGGCGTGTGGACGAGCCGCGCGTGAGCGTCGCCGTGATTGGGCCGCTAGGTTGACGTCGGAGCTGCGTCGCCGGGTCCATGGTGTGCGGTCGTGTGACTGCGGTGCCGCAGCGAGTACAAAGTGGCACGCAGCGGTGACTGCAGTGGCTCCGATAGGACTTGAAGTTGTCTAGCTCACTTGATGGCCAATGGATCGGCCACTGGCCCAGTGAGCCAAGCCTAAACATAGCGAGCGATGCGACGGCGTCTGCGATGATCCGTCAACCACGACGCGTGAAGAACGAACCGACGAAATGCGTTCCGCTTCGAGTCGGGGCTGCCGTGCCAACAAGTTTCTGCCCACTGGCCGTGATGTCACTTGTCGAAGGCACGACGCAATAGATTGCTTATCTAGCGGAGCCTCCATGTCTCTCCGAGTGTCGAGGATGGAACTGCAAGCAAGCAGGTCAGGCCCGCGCCGTCGCGGACGCGAGGAAAGCTCTTTCTTCCCATTGCAACAGCGCGGCCGGACGACATCAGAGACATCAGCGCACCGACCACGCGCCACTAATTTTTGCCGGCGGGTTCAAGTGGGCGGAACCCCATCGAAAGGCACTGCTGCGTGTTCCGCGAACGCCGCAGTGAGGACACCGCCGCCCTTGACCGCTGCGCCAGCCATTGTCGGATCGCACGGCACTCAAGTCCGGGATCTGTTCTTCCCCCTGATCTGGCTGGCAGAAGGTCCACCCTGGGGATGACCCTGCAGTGCATAAGAGACCGATGCAGCGTGGACTCATTGCGGGCGGAACACCGGGGCATCTTTGAAGCTTTGGGGAGGGCGCGGACGCCATTTGGCGTCGTATCGCGGCGTTAGGGCGATGAGAACCGCCATTTGCCAGTAACGGGCACTCTAACGCTCGACGTTCGCCATGTGCGACTTTAAATCACTCGTCTGCAATTTTCCTAAGGTCGAAACGACACGTACGATCATTGGTTGAATATTCGTTGTCACCCGTGCACCCATTGGTCGAAAGTTCTGTTGCGACATTGTAGTGCATTTTGGCCCATCGCTGGCCGCCTTGGAGAAGAGAGCAGGAATTGCCAGAGAAGAGGCGACTCCCGCTTTCTCCAACGTCCCCGGAGGGGCGAGGAACAAGTCAAAGAGCCGAGGAAGGCCACAGTCTCGATGGCGACCCAGTGGATCCAGGACCCGGCCTACAGCGCCTACCAGGCGGACACCACGAGCTCCGAGAGCGTGTCGGACGAGGCCTCAGAATCCTGCAGGTTCATCCATAACCAATGCGACAAGGAGCTCTTTACCGGCGAGTATTTAAGGTACACTTTACAGTCTTCTATAAATAGAGCACTCAAACGTACACTAACCGTAACGCCTTATCCCTTTACCGAGCAGAAGCAACAAAGCTAGTGGTCACAAGAACCTCCGGTGCTTCCCTCACTGCTGTGGAGGCCACAACCCAAAGAGTTTCTGCGGCTCTGGCCTCGTAGTCGAGTGTTTCTTGCCCAATTGCCAATTGGTATTGGGCAGATTCGAGGAAGTGGCCAAGCAACAGCCAGCCAATGGCAAGACTCTACCGTCCCCCACCACAGTGGACACCAGTCTGGGACGCAGCAGCCTCGTGGTGGGTCGGGAATACCCTCGCCAAGAGCTTTTTGACGATGTCAAGATGCCCGACCAGCCGTTTGGTCGCTGGTTCCGAGGCTCAGCAGTTCCCAATGGCTCAGGATCGGGCACTTGTTTCCTACTCAATGGCAACCGCCAATCGTGGCACTATGGCTGGCAATCATCTCGTCTAAACTGCAAGAACCTGCACGTGTTTAAAGTCTACGTGTTCGATGCAAGTGCCAGTGGTAATGCCAATACTCTAACGTGTGTGGCAGCCCTGGCGTCGCCTGCGTTCCGGATTTCTTCCAGTCGCAAGGCCAGAAAGACGTTCCGTTCACCTATGAACCAGGTGAATGGCACGGCACCCAATTCAACGCCAATGGGGTTCCAGAATGTGATTCCGAGGGCTCCGTCACCGTCTGGATCGGCGAGGAGTATTGACGAACTGTTGGGTAGTGGAACAGCAAATAACGCGGCGGTGGCGAATGCTGCAGCCATGTACGCAGCAGCTCAACAGCGACCACCGACGGGGTTTATGGCTGGCCAGAGAGATCCTGCTCGACGTGAACGGAAGCGCTTGACTCGCTCAGCTTCGCTCAAAACGGATTATTTCTCGACCATCTCGTTCCCCACGCTCCAACAGCAGCAGCAACTGCAACAGCAGCAGTTCCAGCAACCCCAAAGACTGTCGCTCTCAGCTACACACCCGCCGCATTTCGAGGGACTTCAGGAGAACCGCGCGTCGATGCCGTCACTACCAGGTGTGGGATCTTTCCTGAACAACTCAACGGCGCCGAGATCAACTGGAAACAACCGAACGTTCCACAGTCGACGCTCGTCTCTGGCAGCTCTGCCCATGCCCGTTTCCAACCCGTTAACCATGTCGCGTCAACACCAACGACCCGTTCCGGTGCTTACTCCAATTACCGGTATGATGCAGCTCCGACTGGAAAATCATTCCCCTTACGCCAGCACGCCGATGGCCAGTTCAACGCCCTCATCGTCCAGCTCTGCGTCGTCCGGCTCGGCTCCTGTTGCCAACACGACGCGACTCACTGCTGCTGCGCTACACCAACACGCGTACGCTTCCGCCCGGCCGTATCCGTACGCACGGCGTGATACTTGGTCGAGTAGTTTGCAAGGAATGATCCCTGAAGGCGGCGGGATCCCCATGATGATGATGTCGCCCGGATCAACGCCCGACAGTTATCTTAACCGGAAACGCAACCGCTCCACAGACTCGGACAAGGCGATCACTGCTGCTATTGAGGCGTCCGAGAAGATCCACCCCACTCTGTCGCCGGTATCGTCGCCTCCGATGGTGGCTCCAGTCCCCACAGACAGTGAACTGTACCGTCGTGCGCGTATCCTTCAGCTCGCGTTCACTATTGTGAAGCGTATCCATCGCTTCGAAGAGGTCGCAGCCAAGCAGAAGGAGACACCCAAGGTGTATCGCCACTCGTTCGAGATGATCACGCCTCCGATGCCGACGCCAGCTTCAACCCAGACACCACGCAAGAAATGCTCATTGGTTCAGATTCCTCTGAGCAACCCGAAGCTGTTGTATTTGTGCTCTAACCTCGTGACAGTGTGCACGTCCTTGGTAAGCTCTGGACTGTTGGAAGATATGCGTCAAAAGATGCGCGACTGTGCCCAGGCTGGACGTGGTGTGCTTGCAGCGTATCAACAACTTGTGGACTTTTTGAACGACGCAGTGGAAGCTCAAGTATCACGTCTGCCTCGCCGGATGCACAAGTCTTGGGGCGATGCGGAGTCTGCTGATGAAGGCGAGTGGGATCTGTACGAGATGCTCAAGAGCTGCGAGCCGTGGCTCATGCAGGAGGCCTGGTGGGTTGTGCTGGACGACGACGACCAGCAACAAGCAGGAGACAAAGAAGAAGGCGCGCTACGTCCACTCCCGTACATGCACGTGTTCGCAGACTACTACCGCGCTATTCAGGACGCCGTACCGTCGCCTCAAGACCTGGAAGTGGCGAACTCACTGCGTGAAGCAGCGCTTACAGGAGCCACCGGACTAACGGGCGAGTGGAATCGCCAGGGCGAGCCTGATGAGCACCACTTACAGCAGCCACAACGCGTTGCTTCAGTTCGATCAGCAACGGCAGCGTCGTCGCTGTCCTGGTTGGCACGTTGCATCCATGCGCACACAACGAAGACGTTCCACATTACGGAGACGGACACGACGATGACGCTGTCGCTACCGAACAGCTTAGTATCTGCTGACGCCGTGTTCCTATTGCAGCTGGACCAACAGGAGCCAACGGTGGTGCTTCCTCAAGATTATTTTCCGTTCGGGTGGTCTCGTAAGCGCTCACTCATGGCGTATCGTGCGTGGCGTGTCCGTGGCATTGGCGACTCGAACGGCAGTGCCGTGGCTGTGCAGTTCATGCGCTGGCCCGATGATAACGAACTTGAAGCCGTCGAGAACGACGAAGAAGATGAAGAACTAGACGAAGAGGAGGCTGAAGACTCCCCGGAAGAACCCGAAGAAGAGCCACTGGGTCGTCGCGGCCGCCAGCTCAAGCGTCTACGCACTCGGATCACCATTTACTTCTCCGTCTTCTCGTCCACTACACTACAGCTGCGCACTATTGTCGAAGCGAGTCTGGCTCCAGCCGCGGCTCTCCCTGCTTTGACCACTACGCAACCCACGGATGCAGACATGTTGAAATACTTCAAGTCGCCGTCGTCCTGGGAAATGCGCTCGCAGATCTCGCAAAAGTACACGAAAAACCTGTAAATACCCAGCAGTTGAGTGAGATCGCGTCCCACTCCATCCCTATCCAGCCCAGCTACCTTTCTCCCTCTTCGGCTTCCGCTTTGTGTACGTGCGTGCGTCGGTGTTTTATTTTCTTGGAGGTCGAAAACGAGGAACACGAGTTACCGACATCCTGGTCATAGATAGGTACGTAGGTATAAGCAGGAAGGTCAGAACTCAAATCAACTTGAACAAAATTCCAGATAAGTAGTTAGTGCCCAAAATGTTTTGTCTGTACTTGCATCATACTTAAGTACTCATTTTGTTGGCGTTGTACTACACGTAGTTGCTGGTATCTCTGGCTTCGCTACTGGAGGTGTGGCCTTTGTAGTGGCCACCGCTACTGGGTTCGGTGCTGTCGTCGGCTTTGCACTCGGTATTACTCTTGTAATTGTAGAAGCGACACTAGCACCAGGCCGCGCCAGTGGCGATGGAACTACAGGTTTGATCCCGATATTCGTGTACGGTTGAGGAGGAATAACACTCTTGCCTGCCTTGGCAGCATTTGCAGCTATGGCTTTCTGCAATGCCTGTTGTTGGACGAGTTTCTTGCGTTCCATCTTCTTCCTCGCCGCTGCGTCTTGACTAGCCTTGACCTTCTCGTTGTATCCGGACAATACTCGAGCATACGAAGTGAATCCCAGATTTTCCATGCTCTCAACGACGTTGGAGCCGGAGATCGACAAGCCCACACCTTTTTTCGTTCTCCGGTTCTGCATGATGGACAGATCGCGGGATTCACTCGTGAAGTACAGGAGGAACTCGGTGACGCATTCTTGCATGAACGTCACCGCGTCGTCGCTGATACTGATCGAGTCTTGAGAAGAGTCGAGTTCCTGGACGCTGTGGGTGGGAGACACGGCTGGAGAGGGAGTTCTGCCCTTTACTGACTCAGTAGTAGCCGTGTTTTCTTCATGATCGCCTGGCAACGCTCTGTACATGATTTTGGATATTATCTTCGACGGGAGATACATCTTATCGTCACTCTCTGAGCTTGCACGGGTGGCCAAATCCAGATCGTAAAACTGCTGGGCGACACGAGGAGATATCGGAGGTACAGTGGTCGTTGACGGCCGGTAACCGGTAGATATTGACGGCGATGGCGTTCCAATCGAGTCCATCCGTGGTTTCTTGACAGATCCAGGAATTTCTACCTGCAGCGGGCGCTTGTAGGACGCTGCCAACATCGCAGCAGTTGTCGTACTGTTGCTGACTTTGGCTGCCTCGAGCTTGGCTGCATCTCGTTTCGCCTTAGCCTTCTGGTTCGTCTCGAGCTGTTTGGCTTGCAACTGAGCCTTGATTTCCGCGTACTCACGTTCGACCGCTGCCATGTCACGCTTGACAGGAACCCGAACGGCTGGTGATAATATTATTGACTGGGAAGCTGTTGCTGCGGGTGCTGTAGGTGTCGTAGCTGTTGCCGATGCAGGCGTAGAAGCAGCGGCAGTGTTACCAGCAGAGCCTGTAGTACCGTTAGCAGGGGTTGTCGAAGTGACATTCGAAGTAGCGGGGACGGTAGCAGTAGCATTAGCAGCGCCAACCGACGTAGTAGCAGCGGAAGCAGTAGCAACAGCGGAGCTGGCGGCTGCTGCAGCCTTCGCAGCCGCTTCCTGTTGCGCTGCTTTATTCTTCTCACGAAGGGCAAACGCCCCTAACATCTGCACAATCTTCTGCGTGACAAATTCGGACTTGACTTGGAGATCCAGTGGCCATCGATCCTGCTGAATCAGCACCGGTCGGCGGTGCGCCAAGGAGTCGCGATAATCCCGTTGAGCAATCTGTAGCAGCATCAGCTCTGTACATCGATGCAGCCACGACGTTATCTTGTCTAGCGCCTGCCGCATCTCGCAGTCGGTTCTCGAGTTGGCTACCCGAATACAGACCTTGGCCAGCGCCTCGAGGTCCGTATCGAACGCTGTCTTACTCTTCTTCTTCTTCAACGAGTAATACGTTGGTGCTGTGGTAACGTAAGGCTTCGTCGTGGTAGTCACAGCCTGCGTGGTCGAGCTGGTTGTACTCTTTTCTCCCTTCTGGAGTTGAATCTGTAGCTGTAGCTGTGCCTGTTGCTGTTTCTGCTGTTTCTGCATCATATCTCGAAGTAATTGCTGCTGTCTCATGACCTGTTGCTGCTGTGCCAACAAACCGTCCGCGATAGACGTGGCCGTGGCCGCCGTCACCGTGTTTCCCTTCGTTTGCTTAAGTTGCTGCTCATGGAGTCTCAGTAGTCTCAGATGCTCTTGTTCTAGCAGCAACTTACTACGTAGCCACTCCTCATTGTTTCTCTTCTGCACCGCCTGTGCCGCCATGGCCGCTTGACGCTGCACGTTCTGTTGCAATCTGGTCAGCTGCTCCTGCCGCAGTTTCTGCAAGTCCTCCGACGTCTTGGCCAGCCCCGTCATGCTCGTAGTGATAGTACTATTACTACTACCAATAGTACTGGAAGGTGTCATGGCGATACCCGACTGAGCCTCGAGCTGCTTGGTCATAGCCTGGTACTGCTCCACTTGCTGCTGCGCTAGCGCGAACTGCAGTCTACGCGCATCTTCTTGCGTTCGGAGCGCGCAGTCCATCGCAGACGCATCTCCATTTGAATTTGCAGTGGCTTCTGCATGCTGACCGCTCGCTTTAGCTTCTGCAGAGGCTGCAGACGTTTCGGTGCTGGCAGGAGGAGGTTGTGCCGCCGACGCGGCGACATTTTGAGATTTATCCTGGGAAATCGAGGATGGAGCTTGAACGGGAGGATGCGCCTGCGTCTTGGCTCCGTTTTTCGCGGTGCTGGGGGACGTGGAGATCGCTGGTTGAGCTGGTGACGCCGCGGATGCAGACGCCATCCCTGCCGCCGCCGGTTGGGCCATCGGGTTTTGAGCTTTCGCCGAAGGAATTTGAGGGGTACAGTACGTTGTTGTGTGGTACACTGTTTCATAGTAAAAGCAAGTCAACGATCATCTGCATCGTACCCCCTAGTCCAACTTGACATTTCCCGCGTAACCAGAAACATGGCCGGCGTGGTGTTGGCGACGGCAGGCTACGACCATACTATCCGCTTCTGGGAAGCCGCGTCGGGCACCTGCAACCGCACCGTCAAGTACCCAGACTCGGTAGGCTGCTTCCCTATCACCCTGTGTCTCGAAAATACCCCCACACTAACGTATTATCTGCGTCATAGCAAGTGAACTGCCTACAGATCACGCCGGACAAGAAATACATCGCGGCGGCGGGTAACCCGCACATCCGCCTCTTTGAGATCAATAGCAACAATCCCAACCATGTAACCAGTTACGATGGCCACTCCAGCAACGTCACGTCGCTGGGTTTCCAGCGCCACGGCAAGTGGATGTACTCGTGCTCGGACGACGGCAGTGTAAAGATCTGGGACCTCCGTGCCCCCGGCTGCCAGCGCAGTTACGCTGCTGGAGTACCCCTTAACTCAGTGGTGTTACACCCGAACCAGGCCGAGTTGCTCGTGGGCGACCAGAACGGAGCCGTCCGTGTGTACGACCTCACCGCCAATGCCATGGCCACAAAACTAGAGCCGCCGACGGGCGAGACGGGAGAAAGCAGTATCCGCTCCGTGGATATCGTGCGTGATGGCAGTGCACTCGTAGCAGCTAATAACCACGGCAAGTGCTTCTTCTACCGTCCGAAACCCGAGGGACACTATGAGTTACACGGCTCGATCCAGGCACACAATGGCTACATTCTCAAGACACGGATCAGTGCGAACGGCAAGTTCCTGGCGACGTGTTCGTCGGATAAAACCGCCAAAGTGTGGAGTTTACCGACGGCTATGGCTGCGTCGGCGAACGGCGAAGTGGCTGAACCGGAGATGCACGGCAACGGGTCGATCAGCTCGCAGCGACAGATGAGCTCCTCCAGTATGAGCTCCACACTGGGCCCGTCGACGCCGCCTGTCCCGAGCAGTACGGGGCTCATCCACACACTGCAGGGTCATCAGCGGTGGGTGTGGGACTGCGCGTTCTCAGCTGTATCGTCGTATTTGGTGACGTGTTCGTCCGACCAGAGCGCTCGACTCTGGGACTTGAGTCAGGGCGAAGCCATCCGCCAGTACAGCGGCCACCACAAGGCCGTCATCTGTGTGGCGCTTAATGACGCTGTTGCGGACTAAACTAGCAGAAATAGGATGAAGATGATGGTGTATAAAGAAGTTACGCTTTAGTCTGGTCTTCTACGTGAAGGTCTTCTTGGTCATAATGGCGTAGAACTCCTCGGCATTGATCTCTCCGTCCTGGTCCGTGTCGGCGCGCTCGATCATCTCGAGCAGCTCAGCGTCCGTCATGGTCTCGCCTAGTTCCTTGGCTACGCGCTTGAGGTTACGCAGCGAGATCTTACCCGTCTGATCGTCGTCGAAGAGGTTGAAGACCTTCTGGATATCTTCTCTCGAGTCTTTGTCACTCTGCAGCACAACAGTCAGTTCAATCCTCTACCAACACACAAATTCGAGCACTTAACTGACCATTTTGGCTGTCATCATGTCCAGAAACTCCTCAAAGTCGATGGATCCGCTGCCGTCTTTGTCGATATCACCGATCATCTGGTAGATAGTCTGATTCTTGGCCTCGAAGCCCAGCGACTGCATGGCCGCTTTGAGCTCCTTGGGGTCGATCGTGCCGCTCCCGTCTGTGTCGAACAGATTGAAGGCTTCGCGGATCTCTTCAATCTCCTCTTCACTCAGTCCTGGACGCTCATACGTCTTGGCGTTGCGCTTCTGCGAGATGCGGCGAGCCATGGCCACTTGGGTTACGCTAGTTCCTTCGGAAGTGCCGCTTGACGACTCCTTGCAGCTCTACACACTTGTATCAGGGCGTAACCGATCCTACATGGCTTCTTTCATTGGTAAAAATATTAAATTAAAATCTATCATTGGACAAAACTTGCGACCGCTACGTGATACAAGTGGTGTAAATTGGATTTTGTTATCAGCCAATCAGCACGACAATTTAATGCCTAAAGCTGCTGCACTTTCCGTCTGTGTTTCTTCTCCGCACTTAGGCTGCATGGAAGCTCCGACGACGACGCGGCGCGTGGCGGCCCCAGCTCGCTCGGGCTCCTTTCCTAGCGCCCGGATGCTGGAGGCTCAGCGCACCTTCCAGAGTGTGGTGAAGCAGGAGCTGCAGATGCTGCTTGAGGGCGGCACGAAGCGCGAGGAGGCGGTGAAGCTACTATTGCGACGCATCGTGGCCAGCACAGAACCTCCCGAGGCCGCAGCCGTTCGTGGCGTTATGCGTCAGTTCCAAATGAATTACGACGACGCAGTGCGCGCTCTAATCGTCAAACAGGAGCTTGGTAGACTCAAGCGCCAGGGACTGGACTCGTTCGCAGCTATTGAGGAACTTACACGTAAAATGAGGAGTCGAGAGGTAGAAGAGGAGGAAGAAAGGGTAGAACAGGAAGTAGAACACAAGGATAGTTCAGTTGAAGAGAAGAACGAACAGGTTTCTAGTGAAGAGCAAGAGGAAGAAGCCATCCCAGCGGCTGAGATGGCGTCGCCGACGTCGGAAAAAGACGGGAACGAGACGTCCTTGTCGCTAATTCAACGTATCGGTCAAGTATCAATCTCCTCTGGCAATATGCCTGAGAGGGAGAACGAGGAACGTGAAGAAGAGAAGGAATCAAACGAAGATACAGACGGAGAAGATGAATCTGTAAGAGGACACAATAAGACGCAGTACAAGTCTCCTCTTCGAGTTCGAAGCCCCAACAGCAACAACCTGGCAGATCTCACGCCACAGTCACGCAAACGACGTGCTGCCTTCGATACTACCAATAACAACAGCGGACGTAGTGTGAAGCCATTGTTCCCGAGTGTAAAGAAGCAGAAATTGTGCGCTGAAGTGGGCGCCGGGTTCCTTCAAGTCGTCACGCGTAAATCCAAGCAAACGCCCCCTAATGTATCCAAGAGCACAGCAGCAGGGTTGTCTGGGTCCTCGCCAAGTAGCGGGAAAGGTGGTGGAGGCTCACGTGACCACAACTCCAAGAATTTACACAAGCGGCAACGAGACAGCCCCACAGGGATGCAGGACGAGGACGAGTCTCCCATCGCAGATGAACTTCGTATTTCCCACGTGCATCACCGACATCACACGCATCATAGCAAGCGCCAGAAGAGCGGCAGCCATTAAACACACGGACGACCGAGGAGTACGAGTCTTAATTATTTCAACCTCTGTAAGACCGTTTTGGAACATGTAGAAAAGCTAGGAACAAGAGAATGAAGAAGAAAAAAGGAAAATGGAGACGCCGTGTAAGAGAAATAGGAATACAGGAAGATTACATGAATCTGTATTTTAGCTGCAAATTACAGACAACTCTAATCGATACTCTAATCCTGAAAATGGCGTGTCGTGCTTGGGCGTAGGTCGATCCCACGCTCACGTAGTTCCTGCAACAGCTTGACGAATTCGGCTACAGAAACCTTCACCGCTCGGTTCGACTTGAGTCCGCTAGCTTCTAATGCAGCCTCGACACGCTCCGTAACGGCCTGATGCTTGTCTTCACCTTCTGTTAGAGTGTCCTCCTTCAACACGTATTGAGACCTCGCCGTCTTGGCAAGCAACAAAGCTCTCAACGTCTTGTTCTTGCGTAGGAAACACAGTCTCAATAGTGCATCAAATTTCTGAAAAAACAGCTCGTCATCTGATGGCAAAGCGGGGGTCGAAGCAGCACGAGGCACGAGTTTAATCACGCGCGAGTCCACCTTTGGAGGGGGCAAGAAGTGCTCTCTCGGCACCTTTACGACCGACGAAACATCGGCTACAAGTGCCGTATTAGCACTCAGCCGACTGTAGTTCTTGTTACCAGGCTCAGCTAATAGTCTCAGCGCGAACTCCTCTTGTACGAGCAATACAGCACACTTGAAGGTCGTTGGGAAGCGATGCATGTAGTTCGAGAGTCTTGAAACCACAATAGAGGACAGTTGGTACGGGATATTGGCAACACAGGCGTCAAACTTTTCCTCATGGGGCTTCTCCTGGTACGTGTCGGCTACAAAGCGGAAATCCTCGAAGTCGGAATGTTCCAACACGAGGCTGCCCGACTCGATCTCGGCCGGAAATCGGAGCTTCAGTTGCTCTACCATGCGGGGATCGAACTCCACTGCATGAACGTGCATCTTGGGACTTACTTGCAGCAGTGCCGACGTTAAGTTGCCCGTTCCAGGGCCGATCTCCAGCACTCGCACTGGGTCCGAACTGGTGTCCGAAAGGTCCGAAGCTGCCACGATCTGGTCCAATATGCCATCGGAGACCAAAAGATGCTGGCCCAGTTTGCGCTTGAGGTGTGGAGTGCCTCTCAGTCGAGAAACGTTGGAAGTAGACGCCCGGCGAGATCCGAGAGTGCACAAGGAGCAAGCTCTGGACACAAGACGCTGTGGCAACATCATTGTTTTATTGTCTTTCTGTGGCCGCCAGAAAAGTGTAAGCAAATAAACGCGCAACGTAAGCTTCTTTCCTTTCAGAAACGTTGCGCGTTTATTCATTTTATGTTGCTAGCAGCATTTAAGTTGCTGAACAGTTGCCTAGGCCACAGGCTAAAATATGTGAACTATTCGTAAATAATGTGAATGCACCTTGGATACCAGTGTTTTTATACGATACAAAATATGGCGTTCAACCTACTTTGAAACTGACCCTTTCAGTCTTCCCCACCCAGTATATTTTACCTGGTGCTGCAGACATCACTGAAATATACTTGTATGCACATAAGTCAGTGTTAAAAGAATCAAAAGGATATCAAAAGCTTTATATAGCAGATACCATGGTACTCGTGTGGTGTATATGTGCAATCAGTATTGCAAGCTCGTGGTCACTAGAAATAACACACACGTTTTATTTATCAGTACAATAGAAGCGATATTTTATGACATATACACATTGTGCCCGACGAGCGAACAGAGGCGAAAGGAGGGTGTGTTCCACTCGCTTCGATTGTCATTAACGATTTCCCATCAAATCAAAATTTTAATCACATCCATACTCTGCCCGGTTTCAGATTGCGCTAGGAGCCCGATCTGTTCGGGTTGTACTTAAATTTGCTAATACACTACTGTAGTATTGTCTGTCATTTGAGTAACAACAAAACTCAACATATCTCGTTCATCTTTTAATTTTTATGAGCTTCGAGACGAGCTTAAGCAATTTCCATTTGCTTGGTGTGACCTTGGCATTCGCAGCTAGAGTTTGATCGAAGCTCACCACCGAAATCTTCCTCTTACTAAAAACTTGCTCGAGCTTCGCCGCCAAAGCCTGCTCCTTATTTAGAGTTTGCCCAATCTTCACCAACGACTGTTTCTTTTTTACCTTTTCCTCGACCGCCACCAACAAAGCCTGAAATTCTGGTGTCTTGCCTTTTTCTTCATTGATCATCTTCACCAACGGCTTATAATCGTCATCTTCCAGCATATCGTTCAGAAAGTTCATATAGAATTCGTACTTTTTGAATTCCGAGGTACCCTTGAATTCTTCTATCCCTGGCAAGCCGCTCGTGATGAATTGGGCCATCTGTTCCGCAATACCCAACTTTCTAGCGTACATTTCCCTGGATATCCCCTCCTTCATCATCGCCTTCATGTCATCCATAGACAGTGGGGGTTCGACGAACATCAGGGACCTTTCTTCATTTTCAGCGTTGCGTTTAATTATAGTGTGGTGAGTCCTCAGAAGCCGCTGGACTTGACTGGTGGGCGTTGCAACGTTGGAATTCTGGTCGGAGGCTGGAGCCATGGGGAATACCTCACTGGCAAACAAGAGAGTCACGCCGATCAACACCACCAACGCACGGGCTTGACGCATCGAATCTCTGGTTTTCATCAAGTGACTATATAAGGGCTGGAAAGGAAAACACAAAATGAGACCAGTGATGTACTGCCACTTGCATTGTCAAGTACATCCCTTGATACAAAAGAGCCAGAAAGGCCCCATCCACATCAAATCGGTTGTACTGTATGTGTACCAGTATTTGTACCAACCAGCTGTATCTACAATTGCCGCAACAGATAAAGATGTGGGATCCACTAGATTCCACTGGATTCCACATCTTTATCCGACCCAGTTTAACTAACACATCAAGCGTTCTACATGTAATACAGATCAATGAGCCTGATACAGTGTTTTTTGGGTGTCATCAGACGTTTACGTTGATTTCGATTTGCCAGGCCAATCCAACCAGACTGCAGCAGCTCTGATGGGCACTGTCCACTGGGCAGTCACTGCTACCTTCGCGGCGACATTATTATGGCCTGGGCAGCAGAGCGGTTTATCCCAAAACCATTGTTTTATTTGTGTTAATACCGGTGTACATGTATTGAACGCATGTTTACCGGTATTATAAATTATAAACACGACCGTTTGTTTCAGGTCGTACGTAACCAGCGAAGCCGTCAGCTAAAATGCCGTAAACAAGCGAAGTGGGTTGAAATAGAGGGCTTCAGCGAAGTCCTCTATTTCAACCCGACGAAGGTGCAAAAAAACACAATCAGGTACTGTACAGCTTTAAACAACGTTGATACTGCATCTGTGAACTATTACCGTTATAACAATACCTTATGGGCAAATTTCCCGAGTCGATCTTGAAAACAATCTTCTAGGCCCTAGGACTCCTAATAATCTCCTAGTAGGAGATTGTTTAAAAGAAAGGCACGTGTTGCTGCTCCAGACTGGGAGCCATCTGTTGTCCTTAATAAGGGAATACATACCCTTGTTAATGGCCTAATAATGGCTATTTCTGTACAGAGACTCAACTTAGGGCCCGCCCGAAAACGCAACAACGCTGTTTCCTTCCCCTTGATCATAATGTTGCTCGGTTTGGAGGATCGAGTAGCCTCTCCACTAGTGCCCTTAATCATACTACAGCACCCGCTCAACGCTCGCTGGAAGCTACGTACCAATGCTTGCCAACAGCGGCAAATTGGCTGTTTTATTATACCAGTCTGGAGCAGCAACCACTCTCTAAAAGAAATGATACCTAATATTATAGGCTACGGATCATTTCTTCTGACCCTTCTAATATTTTATGTACTTACCTATTCGCTGTTTACGGAAAACATCTACATGTACGGTGTTATTTAACGTACATACAACAAAGTTCACGCTTAGAAAGTACTTAGTAAACGCTGCGAATGCCATAAACATATGCATCGACAATACATGTTCTCTAATCTCTGGTAGTGAAAGGGGTAGCCCTTTTTTACCTTTCACGTTTACGAACTACCTGAGTTCATAAACACAGATGACCAGGCCTCATCAATGAGGGGTTTTCGTTTCCCCCAATTAGCCTATTGTAGAGGGACCAGGAGGCAAGTCAATAAGGGGCACATCATTGTCTTTAGTATAAGTAAGTATAAATGATTGATTTCATATCACTACCGTATTTGAGATCTCATAATTCATACTCCATGTTGTACGATTGTAAATCGAACACGAAATGAACATGTATCGACGACTCTATGTACAAAATTCATGTACATCATCTGCTTGTCAGCGAGACTTAGCGCAGAATAGGCGGAGGGGCGACGTGCCATGGTATGATGCAGCAAAAAATAAAGAAAGCTTCAGTATTTATTTGTCTGTT